AAGTTACTTCTCTCTCTCTCTCTCTCTCTCTCTCTCTCTATCTATCTATCTATCTATCTTTTTCTCTCTCCCACTCTCTCCTCTTTCTTCCGCAATTATCGTCATAAACAAAAAAGGAATACGGGAGCTCTCGAGTCTAAGACAAAAATATGATACTGAGGGAAACAGCGGATATAAGATATTTACGTCTATAGCAGGTATACCGTACACGTCATTTTATCGATCGTATCTTTTATAGAGTGAGCCTGAACGAAAGTTTGCGTGTAACTGCACGTAGTTCCAAGGGTCGTGGAAACCTGCATCAGACTGGGGACGCAACTTCGGGATGATTTTTATAAATGCGTTTCGCCATGCGGGGAGGAGATCTCGGAGGTAAGAAACAAATCCGACTCGGCTTCGATTTTTACAAGATGATTTCTTTCAGCTTCTTCGGCAGACTCTCGAACGCTAGTGGTAGTTTAAACGCTTCAGTTTAAATGAACGAAATAATCGCTTACTTGCGAGAGCATCGGGAAGTAGATCCCGTGCCTTTACGATGTGGCGCTCGTTATCTATCGACATAGCTGCATCGGCGACCGCAACATCGAAGGCTACCAGTTAAGTCCACGACCTCATTCGCACGGTAATTGCACGCGCGGCGCGGTGCGGTGCGGTGCGGTGCGGTGCGGTGCGGACGCGCCGAAAAAGAAAAATCGAACGCGATGGCTCGCAGGGGAGTTACGAGAGGCAGTAAACGCTGATATAATTGAAGCGCGGAGAAATCGTGTTAAAGGCACGTTAGACAGACGGCGTCGTTCGGGACAAAGGAGTCCGACGGTCCGACGCGACAGAAGTTACGCTCGCTTTTCGAAAGCGCTAATGCACGGGACAAATAAAAGCATCGATTTGTTTGTATACTGTTGTTATTCTCGGATATATCTCGAGTCGTATCGTAACGCGCAACTTAAACGGCGTTCTCCTTTCAACAATGTCGTTATCTAAAGGAGTGCCGGAGTGCGTTTACGGCACTCCGGGCGTTTCAGCGAGGAGCACTCGGGGTCGAGCCTAAATAGTAAATGGCGAAGTCTGTGAAATACAGTGAGTGCGTAGCGCTTACGAGGAAATATATATTAATGTCGTTCCACTTTCCTGCCGGTAATCGTTTCCTTCATTTTGCGAAAAGCTTAACGGTACGAGCCCCAACATGATCACGGGAAGCGAGGTAATAATGTTCTCTCAAAGGAATTGCCTCTCTTTTTTTTTTTTCCTTTCTCTTTCTCTCTATTATATCATTTTAATCGCGATATCTCTCCATCTGGGATCAATCTCATCGCTCGATTCACGACCGATGACGATCCGGATGACTCTCGCGCGCGCTTCGTGGAATCTCGAAAGAGTCGCCATTAAAGTACGAAACAAAACCATCGGCGAGGCTCGGCCTCGTTCACACGATAATTGCAGCCTGTGTGCTCTGGTCTCGAGCAATACACGGAAAATCGCATGGTTGCACCGCCCGTTGCCGGGTTCCCGCGCGAGTGAAACAACCGCCATGGAGCTGCGAACCATGTTCCACCCCAAGTGAGTGAGTGGTTCCACCAACAAGAAAGTCTATTTTCATTTTTTCTAATCTTCTCGCAGGTTCTACCGAACCGATCTTTAACTTTCACCCGCGCTACACCAAAAAGGCAAAAAGGACGTATTAATTTTCTTTCGTACCGAGTTTTTCCTTAATTAACAAAACGGCTCGTTACGAAGATAAATCTATGAAACAGCGAACATAAAAGCGCGAACATAATGCGCGAATCCAATTATAGTAAAAAAAAAAAAAAAAAAAAAGAAGGAAAAAAACAAATGTAGAATAAATAGTAAGCATTAAAGATATTAATTTGAGTCAATTTCTAAGTCAATTTCTTAACGATTACGAGAATGCTTTGTTATCTATTTCCCGAGTACACAAAGGAGCTCCTTTATTTAATCGCCAACTAGCAAATTGGTAGTATCTTAAGATTTCTTAAATTCGTCGAAAGATCTATCATCCATGTAAAATAATCAGCTGATCGCGATCGTGTTACTCGCCGTGACGTTCCGCATCGCAACTCCAGCCGAGTAGTTTAGCGGAGTCGACCGCAAGGGAAGTGTGCTTATCAAACTATTATAATGATTACACCACGCGAATCGGAGACATCAAAAGACTCGCCGCGACGTTACGTGGAAAGCCTTCCCTAAACGCATAGGTTTAGGATCTGTCGCAATACGCGGGAAATAAGAACCACTACAGGCTACAATGTAGCCGCGTTACGTTGCGTACTCACACAATCACGCATACGCAAAAAAAAAACGTGGTTACGACACGCATGAAAATAGCAGGTCACACCTCGCTGCGAGGTATTTATCAAACGAACTCAACTCGTTCTCGCGTCGCGCTCATCGCTGCCGCCGCCGCCGCCCACCCCTTCCCCCCCCTCGATCAGGCAATCAAATCGCGATCATCTTCGAAAAAAAAGCGTGCACTTTAACGCCTAACGAGATATTTGATTTATGTGTGATCTATGCGCCTGATGTACAACCTTCGCCTTAATAGCGCGAATAAAAATCCCCCGAGGCGATGGTTGCGCAAAAATTTCATTTTACAGCGTATCACGTTCGATGCTGCATAATTGCAAGAGATATATGTCAGCTCCGCACACACGGCACCGTGGGGGGGGAGGGGAGGAGAGGGGGCTACATTTTGTGGGATGAAGCAGCTGCGCGCGCGTGCGTTATTACGGCAAAAGCCCTGCAGTGACGCGTGCGCGGTTATTAAATATTTATTCGCAATTACAGTTCGCGCAATTTGGACTTCTAAATCTGTGTCGACTCGACACGACTAACGTTAGTTCAATATCAATTTACCAAGATGACCTGA